GAGTGGCGATTAGTTAGATCCCAGCGAGCTCGAGGACAGACTGTTCAGGATACTGGAAGACATCTTCTATCAAATTTTAAAGGTGGAAAACCTGAAAGATTTCTAGTTCTTGATGTGGAAGTAAATGACATAAAGCCTTTTCTATTTGAGCGCGAGACTCAAAGGAGAAGAGGAAAATTGGAACTCCTCGAAGGCGAAAACCCATTTAATTGCCCTGATGTTGATGCTCAGCAACCAACAGGACAACATTTCCATCAGTCATCGCATTACAGAGGACAACCCACCGCAGCACAAGGTGGGGATTGGTCTCAGTTCCAACCACGTCCTCAGCTGCAACCAGCAACTACAAGAAACTATCAGTGGTACTCTGGTTCAATGGAAAATGGAACATTTGAAAAGATCTTAAATGATTTCAAGAGGATCGCCAATCAGGGAAAAGTGGAAATTACCCGAAACACAACCACGGAAGACCTCTCTCTGGCGTTCAGAGACAAGCGTTACTTTAAGAATTGGCAGGTCGATTTTCCATACAATTTTCCCCGTGCGGGAGCACTTCTGATTGAAGATTCAGACTTGCGAAGTAAATGCAAGAAGCATCCGCAGGTTACTAATAACGACCAAATCCAGGCTGTAAGGAAAATGACTGATTATATCGAACGGCCATTTCTTCCTGGAAGTTGATTTCTCAGAGGCAGGATATGAAAGGAACTGATAAGAACTAATAAGATAGCAGCTACATCTTTGGACAGTTCAAATTTTGATTTTCAATTTCCAACAGTGATTCGATTTCTGGAGTCAGTACTCTTCCAAATCCGATTACCTTAACCAAAATGAGAATATGTAACTAGTAGCTTGGCCGGATAGGAACTCAGAGTTAAAAAATGAGACAAGTTTGTGTTTGATTTTTGTCTCTAATAGAGATGCACACTTAGCAAGCTGGAGTTGAGACAATCTGTAAAGGTTACAAATAGTGGATTTAAGATATCAAAAAAATTAAACGGTCCTTTTTCGCTTTTTGATGAAGTTTCTCGGATGTTTGATTGTTTTAACATTTCAAACACGGAAAACCACGCCGTTCGCACGCAGCAAAGTAATTCTCTGCAAAGTAATTCTCAGCAACAACACGATCACACTTTCTCTTCTTCCGATGTAATTTATGATACTCAAAGGTTTTCGCTTCCAATATGCGCTACTAATTACTCTATTTAAGGCCAAATCTGTTTTAATGAAAAACAGCAAATCCTATAAAAAAATCATCATATTTTTCAAATACGATAACGTTAGATAACTGATTTGGACATCCCTCTCTCTCTCTAGATCTTGCTCAATCATCGCTGATGATGTTCCACTGTTTCCCCTCATTCGCTTGAAGACTAAAATATATTTTTTCCTTTTGGAAAACAGTTTTACAGTGATTCACTACACAGTGAAAGAACGCTAGGAGCTGGTCCCAAATATAGCTAAGTCATCATAGATTTATAACTTTTATCCTTTGACCCCATATTTTTTACTAAAGGAATCAGTTCATCCATTAACAAAAATTGTTCAACGTAACTGGCAACTTCTGGATCGAGATTACATTGGAGATATCAGGCTAACAAGTTGGGGTAAATTTTTTACCGTTCAAGGCGCAAAACGACCTTCGAGATAACCTATCATCAAAATCTGTCATTTCCCACACTTTTCCAATAGAAAAAAGAAAAGAAAAGAAAAAGGGTAGATCTTTTTATTTATTTCAAGAGATTTTAAGATAGGACTCGAGTTGAAGTCATAAGAACACCTTGCCCGTCATGATGGCGGGCAAGTATGGGCAGACTAAGTCGGCTTTATCGATTTTTTTTTGCCAAGCAAAAACAACTTCAACTTTTTAATACCCATTTCGTGGTTGGGACCCTAAAACCAGCCTTCATGCCAAATTTCAGCCATATCGGTGAAGTTAGGTGGCCGTGATTTTTTGAAAAAGATTCGAAAGTTACAGACTATTGCTCGTAAATGACAGGTCTCCTTTGTCTTCAGGTATTCTCGGAAATTAGAAAGCTGCTCTTTGCGATCAGACTTCTGCATTATGTAAAGCTTCTGGCGAAAGCAAAACTTGCTGTGAATGAAATCACAGAATCATAGAGAACTATTGCCACTGTTCTGGTCCATTAGTCTCGTTCCTTAGAAGAGGTTAAGATTATCGAAGACGAGGCCATCTACAGCAGTGTAACCGTGATTTATTTTAGCAAACTTTCAAGTAGAAACAAGAGTGTGTATACACCGTTAGCATATGACACCACTCCACTCAAAACATTCTCAGCATGCCCGATTAACACTGGTAACGCAACGCGTGACAGAGCAGCCACAATTGTTTACCAATAAATAGCTTAGAGGACCGTGACAGAATAATCACTGCAAGCGACCCGAGACCAAATGATCCTCGGAGACGAGCTAGCGCGGCATACAAATATATTCGATGAGTCGCTATTCCGCTGTAAACAGTATTCATTCATTTGATGCGAAGAGCGTCCGTATTTCTTTTTTAATGAAACAGACTATTACATCGACAGGAGCTGGAACAAATAGGAAATTTCCGGAGGAAAAGAAGGCTCTAATTTCAAATAGAGGTTGGCTCGGAGACGAGCCAGCCCGGCATACAAATATTCGATGGGTCGCTATTCTGCTGTCAACAGTGCTCATAAATTTGATGCGAAGAGTGTTTTCACTGGCTTGATAATCAAGCATGCTGGAAAAACGAGATAAAAAAATGTATTTTATCTATTACATACTTTCTTTCTAAGTGTGTGTGAGCTCGGTACTATTTTTTCAATAAGATGTATTTTAAGATACTTCTATTTTTATATTTAATAGGTTTGCTTGAGAAATGTTGATGCCGTCTTTAAAAAGTTTTAATTCATCGCGTGCATGGTTTTATCAGGCACGACAGGGTAAAGTCAGTTATATTAAACTGTAGATCGTAGCGTGAAAACGATTGAAAATAAAAACCTTCTGTACGATAACCAAGTAATTATTGTTTTTAATTCAAATTAAAATGTTTTAACTGTTGTTGACCGCCAAGTTCTAATCAGGTCCATGCTCCACGTCACTCTTTCCCATCGCTGTCGACTCAGGCGGTGAAGCCTGTATCTCACCAACAGTTCTGAAGTCACCAAAAAGGCTCATCCCACAATGGCCGAAAGAAACTTGACAATTGGAGAAACTCTGTAATGATTGATAGTTTTTGATCTTTATGGTCTAACTTGATTATCTCTGATGCATGCTCGAAAAATTGTACTGCTTTCTCAGAAATGAACTAAAAGGTTTATTGTTGCCAAGGGATTTAAAAATGTATTTTATGATCTCGATAAATAGTCTCAATTGGTTGTGGAAGAACCCCTTACCCTAGGAGTAGGGGGTAAAGTCCTTCCCCCCCCCCCCAAAAAAAAAAAAAGGGTTACCTCCGGCTAAGACAAAGTCACAGGATACGGATTCCATAAGTTGAGTTTTAGAAAAGGGCGAGGAAAACTGTCGGCTACGTATTTGAATGGGAAGATTAGATGGATCATCCGACGTTATGTCAACTTTGCGTTGGTCTTTTTTTTAATAATTATTTCCAGTTGTATGAAATTGAAAGAGAGGCATAAAACGATTGACAGCACGTCAAGGTCCAGTGTTTTTTTCTCTTTTCCTATAACAATAACACTCGTTTCGGTTTCAGTAATCTCAAAAAGTGCGAGATCTTCGTCTGCGATCAAAAACTCTGCACCCCCCACCAACTCTATGTCATGTAAACCGTAGCGATGCGTCCAATCGGTTTCCTCCGCCGTTAACACCCGAAACTTTCCAAGCAGAACAGGCAAGCATTCTTCTGTTTTGTCATCGATCTCGAACAGGAAACACTTTAAAGAAACAGCCGCATTTTCTGATTCCTTGCTTCTGTCCGCCATTTGGTCAATCTAAGCCACCCTGATGCGAATGCCAAAGAGCAACGTGTTCCATGCCATGATTTCTATGAAAATAATCCTCCATTTGACTCGCATATCTAACGTCTTGGTGAAATGAAAAAGTGGTTCTACGACACAGCCTTCCAATAATGTAGTGAATATTTAATGTATTTTCTAAAGAGTTGTGAGATTTTTCCCACAAACCAAACACGTCTCCACCGGTCTCTAAGTTTGGATGCTTCATCACCCAGCTAAAAATCCTTTTGATGTCGTTTGCTCTGATGAAAAAAGTAAATTTACGGCCCTCGCTCAAAGACATTTTGGTATAACACAGGGATTATTGTGTCTGAGGTCATGGACGAGAAAAGAAACAAGAGTCACGCGAACAAATTTACCTCATTGCGTGACAACTCTGGGGTAAATCACACAACTGATTTCCATGGATTTTAACTTTCCCCAAATTTACTAGTCCGTATAATTTTGATTAGAGCTGGTAAATCGCTTGTACCTCGACGAATCGCTTTAGATTATTGAGCCACGTAGTTCTCTACACCATGTAAGCCCGGTTTGTTCCATAAATTTCTTCGCAAAAAGGTAAAATTATTGAAGAAATTTCAAAAAGTCTCGAGAACGTAACGTAATGTAGTAAGGTTTCTGAGAACATTGTAGCTGTTGATTGAAAATGATTTAAAACTTACGCCCAGAAAATTAATTTTCTTCTTAAATCGTTTTTTGGAAAGTGAAATTTTACATATTTAAGACTTTCCGGGAAATGTTTTTATCGCAGTGCGCTAATTTGCATATATTATTTAAAAGTCACGTTTCCGAGAAAGAGCGGAAGAAACTGTCTGTCAAACTAACACCACAAGATATTTGTTAACCTCGATTCTTGGAAAGAGGTAAACAACAAAATAATTCACTTTCATTGATCAAAGCGCTTGAGCGTCGCAGTTTACTGAGAATTGTAACTAACATCTACGCTACGCTCGCTTATTCCTCTCGGTGGTTCGTGAACACAACATAACTGCTGCTCCCGCTGACGAGGAGACAGAACGAATTCATTTCCTTCGCATCAACATGACTGAATTTATAGCTTACATTTTTAAAGAAGATGTTCAAAAGCTTCAAAGCGAGGCCGGTTCCGCTCATCGAAAAAGTGGAAGTTTGTTCGGTCAGTGGACGAGCACGGGTAACCCTGTAGTACAATATGTAGTACCTTCGGCTGTCCATGGAGCTGACTCTGAGAGATATGGTAAAAAGCTTTGGGAAGGCTACAGGGTGTGCCACATTGGAGAGTGGCGATCAGTTAGATCCTGCGGACAACAGACTGTTCAGGGTGCTAGAGGACATCTTTCAACAAATTTTAAAGGTGGAAAACCTGAAAGATTTCTAGTTCTTGATGTGGAAGTAAATGACATAAAGCCTTATCTATTTGAGGGCGAGAATCAAGGGAGAAGAGGAAAATTGGAACGCCTCGATGGCGCAAACCCATTTAATCGCCCCGATGTTGATCCTCAGCAACCAACAGGACAACATTTCCGTCAGCCATCGCATCACAAAGGACAATCCACCGCAGCACAAGGAGGGGATAGGTCTCAGTTCCAACCACGTCCTCAGCTGCAACCAGCAACTACAAGAAACTATCAGTGGTACTCTGGTTCAATGGAAAATGGAACATTTGAAAAGATCTTAAATGATTTCAAGAGGATCGCCTATCAGGGAAAAGTGGAAATTACCCGAGACAAAACAACCGAAGACCTCTCCATGGCGTTCAAAGACAAGCGTCACTTTAAGAAGTGGCAGGTCGATTTTCCATACAATTTTCCCTATGCGGGAGCACTTCTGATTGAAGATTTAGAATCGCGAAGTAAATGCAAGAAGCATCGGCAGGTTACTAATGGCGACCAAATCCAGGCTGTAAGGAAAATGACTCACTATATCGAACGGCCATTTCTTCCTGGAAGTTGATTTCTTGGGGACAGGATATGAAAGGAACTGATAAGAACTAATAAGATAGCAGCTACATCTTTGGACAGTTCAAATTTTGATTTTCAGTTTCCAACAATGATTCGATTTCTGGAGTTAGTACTCTTCTAAATCCGATTACCTTAACCAAAATGAGAATATGTAACTAGTAGCTTGGCCGGATAGGAACCCAGATTTGAAAAATGAGACAAGTTTTTTTTTATTTTCGTCTCTAATAGAGATACACACTTGGCGAGCTGGAGTTGAGACAATCTGTAAAGGTTACAAATAGTGGATTTAAGATATCAAAAAAATTAAACGGTTCTTTTTCGCTTGTTGATGAAATTTCTTGGATGTTTGATTGTTTTAACGTTTCGATCAGCCAACCCACGCCGTTCGCACACGGCAAAGTAATTCTCAGCAACAACATGATCACACTTTCCCTTCTTCCGATGTAATTTATAATTTTTAAAGGTTTGCGCTTCTAATATGCGCTATTTATCGCGCTATTTATCACTCTATTTAAGGCTAAATCTTTTTTAATGAAAAACAGCAAATCCTATAAAAATATCATCATATTTTTCAAATAAGACAACATTAGATAACTGATTTGTAAATCCCTCTCTCTCTCTAGATCTTGCTCTGCCAGTTCCCAAATAAGCGTTAGCACAACGCCATTTGTTGTCAATCATCGCTGATGATGTTCCACTGTTTCCCCTCATTCGCTTGAAGACTAAAATATATCTTTTCCTTTTGGAAAACAGTTTTACAGTGATTCACTACACAATGAAAGAACGCTATAGTTCCTAATGCGGGAGAAAATATCCTGACTAAAATGGTCTAAAATAATACGTTTTCCTATTGATAGCTTAAGATGCTTCACAGTATAATGTCTCTCGCTCACTTTTATAAATCATAGTCAGTCAGAACTAAACCCAGCAGTAGCCATATACAATTATGCAAAGTTCTTGCTCCTACTAAAGACTACAATAAGAGGTCCACTGGAAATCATCAATTTTGCATTTGATTGCGAGGAAACTCTTCAACAACACCACTAAGCAGGGTCAAAGACATGGAACAATCTTTTGCTTCCTTCACGGTAGAGCTGAAAAATCCACCAGATCCTTGTTTGTTCATGTCCACAGCTATAGCTTTATCATTTGTTGGTTTTGAAGTGCAAAGCTTTCCAATAGCAGGGTCGAAGAACATTACTTCTTTGTCGGTCATGTTCTCCATCTTTGTGCTTTTATCAGCGTTTTAAGAGCTTAAGGCTATGACAAAACTGTAAGGTGATGTTCTCCTCGATTTCCTCTGGTACCCTGGATTACTGATGAAAGCCTTTCTGACTTCCACACAAGCCAACAACGAGCTAATGAGTATATGTTCGATAGGGGCTCTCAATCAGTTCGTCGAAGATGACTTGTTTGTCCTAATCGTCGACGAAATTCTCAGAAACATCGGAACTGACTGTCAATATCCGTCGCTCCGCCCTCTAAAGTAATTTGAAAGACAGGTCTTCTTTGTCTTCAGGTATTCTCGGAAATTAGAAAGTTTTTCTTTGTGATCAGACCTCTGAAATATGTAACGCGTCTGGCGAAAGCAAAACTTGCTGTGAATGAAATCACAGAACCAAAAAGAACTATTGCCACAGTTGTTTACCGCTCAACAGCTTAGAGGACCGTGACAGAATAATCACTGTAAGCGACCCGAAACCATATGACCCTCGGAGACGAGCCAGCCCGGCATACAAATATATTCGATGAGTCGCTAATCTGTTGTCATCAGTATCCATACATTTGATGCGAAGAGCGTTCGTATTCCTTTTTCATGAAACAGACTATCACAACGACTAGAACTGGAACAAATAAGAAATTTGCGGAGGAAAAGAAGACCCTAGTTTCAAATAGAGGTAAGTTCAAAAATAGGAAGGTTGAGAGAACAAGGCAAGAAATATGATATAAACATAAGTTATGCTTTTCGGTTGACACCTATATCTGAATTAGTTTTTGCTTTAAAACCTTTGCTATTGCCAAACTGCCCTTAGTGCATTAGCGATCTTCGAAACTTAACTCGCGAACATCGCGTGACAAGCGCTTCCTGATGAAAACAAATTAAATATTTTCGTTTCACTAGTGGGAGTATCGAAGTGACATCTCATCGCCTGCAGCATTTCATTATCATTACTACAGGAGTACAGTCTCTCCTACTAACATTAATAAATGCATCCCTATGTTGGCCCTATGGCCTTAGTATTTCCTTCTCCGGCGGAACTTGGATAAAAACAATTGCCTCTGTCTCATTTTACAGGGAAGTAACTTAAGAGTCAGTTAAAATGGGTGAGGAATTGGAAATCAAGATATGGGATTATCGAAAACTGAAAATCCGTAAAACTCTCGGACATGGTTCGTTTGGAACAGTTTATTTAGCGAACTGTGTCGAGCCAGATGTGACAAATCATGTTGTGATGAAAGTCATGCACAACTCAGTGGCCATGAGAGATGACTCAAGAAGGCTTTTCATTAAGGAAGCCCTGTTATTAAAGAGTCTCAATCACGAGAACATAGTCCGAATCTATGGTATTTGCATGAACCCTCTTACTATTATCATGGAGTACGTGGTTTTTGATTTTGAGCCTTTTCAAAGAAATAGGAAGGTTAGCACTTTAGACGAATTTCTTTCGGAGATTGCTCGAGTGCCACAATCTGAAGAACATCGATTTGATCATCTAATTCCAAAGATAGCAGTTGATATCACCAGAGGAGTTGCACATCTACATGGCCATGAAATTGTTCATCGCGACCTAAAGCCGATCAACATATTGATCTCCAATCAGCATTACTCCAATCTTCAAGACAGGTGTCAGTTGAAGAGAATTCAGGCAGAGAGACCGATTGTATGCAAATTGGCTGATTTTGGCGAGAGCCGTTCTCAGTGGCTGCAGACAAATGGGCTCAGTGACCCTAACGCAAGCCAAGTATTCAGAGGGACAATTGCTTTCATGGCACCTGAGATTCTGTTGCGCGAACCAATGGTACAAAGAAATAAACTTACCATGGACGATTTGAAAAAAGTGGATATCTGGGCGCTAGGGATGGTGTTTTACTGCTTGATTAACCCAGCTGACTCATACCCATATCAACGAGACGGTTTCAATCAGCCCCTAGATATCATGAATTTTCAAAAACAAAGAAAACGTCCATCCTGTGACCCAAAGTACGAGAACAAACAGTCTTCAGCTTGGAAACATGTTAAAGATGTTTTTCATGCCTGTACAAACCATGATCCTCTCAGAAGACTAAAAGCAACACAGGTCTATGCTATGCTGGATGCTTCTTCCGCTTTAGTTACCCACAGCAGTCTAACGACAAGTACGTCTCTCTAATTCAGTTATAATCAATCTTTAACCTATGCTCGGTAGCCAGGAACCATTATCACCAAAATTTGTTTTACATTTTGCACTGTGGAGGTAAAGGCTAGGCCAACATTTCTGTAATTATCAAGGATAATGATGTTTCTTTTTGGTTTTCTAGCACTGAGGACTTTTCGATTTTTAGTGTATTGCTCTTTTTATCTACAGTTATGAAATGTATTGCCTCTGATTTTTCAGATGTGGTACCCCTTAAACAAGGATTGTCCAGCGCCAGCCAGGGAACTTTTCAGTGGTATGCAAGCACACAGGGGGAGTCTGATGTTCAGTACATACTACGCAAGCTGAATGCAATTGCCGACAGTGTGGTGGATATCAGTCGCAATAAAGACTCCCGGGATCTTTGCATGTGCTTCCAGTGTAATGGTAAACAGTGGCAAGTCCGTTTTCCATCGAATTTTCCAGCTTCAAATGCCAGCTTGCATGTTGACGGAGTGTTTTACGCTATGGTTGGTGGTAATGCTATAAACACGTCCGTCAGAGCGCTGATATCAACAGTAATCCAGCCTAAAGGTACGCTGATTCATGGTGGTGCCGCACAAGTGACCACAGAACAGTGGTACGAGAGCATTCAAGGGGAGGCAGCTCTTCGTCATGTCTTAGACGAGTTGACAAACTTTGCTGATAGTGAAGTGAATATGAGTCGACAAAAAGGCACACATGATGTCACGTTAAGTTTCACGCGCGATGGACATCACTGGGAAATCAGGTTTCCACCCGATTTTCCTAGATCTGAAGTAAACTTGTCAAATGGAGAACTCTCTAAAATAGTTAGTGGTGACAACATCAACACCGCCGTCCAAGCCATGATATCAGCAATAATTGAGGAGCAACCAACATGGGCTGACCGAAATCTTGTACCCGTGGCACGGATAAATGCAGAGCAGTGGTATGCTGGTGATCAAGGAGAGGCAGCTCTTCGATTCGTTTCCCAAGAATTGAGGAACATCACTGATAGTGAGTTAAGAATAAGTCGAGAAAAGGACACCCATGACGTCACGTTGACTCTCGAGTGCAAAGGACAACATTGGGAAATCAGGTTTCCATCGAACTTTCCGAAATCCAATGCGAGCTTGTTCAAGAGCGGAGATTTCTACGCAATGGCTGGTGGTGACCAGTTAGAAACAGCAGTCAGGGAGATAATCAATCGCATAAAGTTTTTTGATCAACCATTTCCAGAAATGTGTGGTAACTCTACAAGCGTGACAACTGAACAGTGGTATACCGGAGACTCAGGAGAGGCCGCTCTTAGATATGTTTTCGACGCGCTAAGGAAAATCGCCGACGGCGAGGTCAAGATGCGACGCAGTACTGACACTCGAGACATCACTCTGAGCCTTCGCCGCCGAGGAAGAGAATGTACAATTACATTTCCTTATAATTTTCCAAAATCCAATGCAAGTGTGTCCACGAACAGGGAAGACTACATAATGATCGGCGGGAATAATGTTGAAAATGCTGTTAGCGCTTTAATTAATCATATTACATCTGTAGATCCGTCGCACTCAAACATTGCATCTGCGTTCCCGTCACACTCAACTCTGTCAGAAACACAGGAAGGGGCCCTCTGCTACATACAATAGATTGAACATATTTCCATTTTGGATCTATCACATCTTTTCCGTACGCGGTCTAAGGTACTTTCCAACGAGGAGACGCACCTTAATTTCAAAAACGACTTCCAGACTCGGTGAACCATTAGTATAGCATTCTCTTAATATTTTAGAACTTAGTTATTTTCATTTCTTTGATAGTAGGCGTTTTGTAACTTCTTGAACCGTCCCCGACAGTGGAACACTAATTTTAAATTTTGCCAAGTAGTTTATTTTCATCAAAGTTTTTGTGACTCTTCTTTTTACTGAAGGACCAATTTGAGAAGAGAGTTAAGGGAAACCACTTTAATTTCTAACTTTCTTTGTTTGTTCTGTTCGTTTTTTTTAATGATGGAGTAATTCATTTTAATAAGCGATCACTATCACACCGTAGTTCCAAGAAAAGCAGGAACACAATGTCATGTTCATTGCATCACCCTCCCTGATCGGGTTGTGCACTATACAAATATATCTCCGCACTAACGTCATTTTGGATCTATCACATCTTTTCCATACTCGGTCTAAGGTACTTTCCAGTGAGGAGACGTACCTTAATTTCAAAAATGACCTCCAGACTCGGTGAACCATTAGTATAGCATTCTTTTGATATTTTAGAGCGTAGTTATTTTCATTTCTTTGATAGTAAGCGTTGCGTGACTTCTTGGACCGTCCTCGACAGTGGAACATCCATTTTAAATTTTGCCAAGTAGTTTATTTTCATCAAAGCTTTTGTGACTCTTCTTCTCACTGAATGACCAATTCGAGAGGAGAGCTAAGGGAAACAACTTTAATTTCTGAATTCTTTTGTTTTGTTTTTTTTGCTGGTTTTTTTTTCATGATGGAGTAATTTATGCTTATAAGCGATCACCATCACACCGCAGTTCCAAGAAAAGAAGGAACAAATTGTCACATTGATTGCATCACCCTCGAGCATTATACAAAAATATGAGTGAGAAAATTCTCGAGTTGTTGGTTTTAATGGCCTTTATTACAGACCAGTGGTGACCTCTTTCTCAGACAATGTCGCTGTGGCATCTTAAAACGCAGCGACACAAAGCACTCCAAATTTTAGACATCACCCGGTCGCTTTCATTGCATTCGTTCATAGAGCACTGCAAACAGCATTTCACTTCTCGCCATCCCGAGCTAACCTTTTCTGGATGACATGATCTTCCCTTTCTTGTTCAATCCAGTCTTAAAGATGAACTACCACTGTCCTCTGACTTTTAACAGATTTCCTCTCTTTGATCTCTTCCGCATTTCGTATCAGTCAAAACGTAGGGCTTCCATGAAACAATGTTCAAAGAACGTATTGTCTATGACCAAGCGTAATTTCGTGGAAATGTTTTCGTAGGTTAAACTGCATGCCAATCATTCACCCAGGATCCAGCTGTGAAGATATTCGAAGAAAACAAGCAATCAACTGTCAACTTTGTCTGTATTACTTTCTATTTTTAGAGACAGGGTATCGATAGCATTCCCGGTAAAAAACTGAAAAGTCAAAAGATAAGTTCACGCTTGATACTACTAACATTCACCCTGTTTGTTCACGTTTTGTTCGATGCATGCAATATCTTAGTAAGTTCTACTCTTGAGATTTAGTCCCACGAAAATAAGAACCGAGGACCCTCAACGCAAGACTATGAAGCTTAATGATGTCGTTTTCCCGTGAAAGTTATCGAAGCTAGATTTTCCGCAATATTACCCGCAAATATGTAATATATAATTTAACTCTTCAACCTGAGATCTTTATTAACAAACAATCCAAATACTTACAAGAAAATATAAACTGCGTAAGTGTTGTGCATTGTGCTATAATTCAGAAGCTATGAGCGCTCTCCAACCGTAGATCATGGCATGTGTTGAACGTTATCCCTATGTACACTTATACAGTTTCTCAAATTCAATGAAGAAATTGAATTGAGGACATTTTCTCTAAAATAGTATAAAGTTCTCCGCCGAAATTTAAAAACGCATCCGTAACGTTCTGATTAGACAACTATGGGCATGGAACAGTTATGTCAAAATAACAAGTCTTACACAAACTTTTAGGGTCAGACAGTTCTTTCATAACTCAATTCTCAAACTACGTGAGGGTTTAAACGCGCTGAATGAGTTGATCCGACTGGATACAGACCAGTAGGCCGTTGTCGTGAAACTCTTCGTCAGAAACCCTCCAATACTTTCATTGAATTTCAAAGCAGGGGAATTGTAGCCTAGAATAATGAATTTCACGTGATTACATTCAGTCTCCTGCAAGTTTTTTTGTGAATAGAATAGCATCATTTTAATCAGCTAACAGCGCTGGGTGAAACTGTTCTAAGAAAAAACAGACAGCTATCAACTTCATTTGCTCCTCCCTTTGCTTTGATAAGTACGTCATCGCCAGGGTGCCTTTAATTCTCGGAAAAAAATGTCACAATGAGTTTATCTTTAACACTGCATCAGAAATAAAGCAATGAGTTTTTTAGCTACCCAGTTTTATTCCGCGTGTATGAGGCGATCAATTGATTTTCGATAGGCATAAGTAATTGTTGAATCCTTTTAAACAGATAGAAATTTAGGATCCAACTAATCGTTCCTTTCTTTCTTGTCACGCTGTGACATTCACGCAAGAGTTTTAGTCTTTTCCGGGAAAAGAATCATAATATTAGCATGGGGAACCCAACGAAACTAAAAGGGACTGTAAAACTGAAGCTTCTAAGCTTTCGTCACTCACAACGAAAGAATAGAGCGCTAAAATTTTCGAAAATCAGTAGCGTAGCCTGTTTGGTAACGAAACATCTTGTTCCAACAAGTTTATTGAAGCTGTGTAAGGAAGCGACATTGTTGCATATTTTACAGTCACGGTACACTTTCCCAGAAAACCAACTTCCGCAGTAATCCTTATAACGCGAAGATCGTAAGCGAAGGGTCCACGAAAAAGTGCTTCAGACCAGTTTAACCATTTCTTTCAATGATGTCGTGGTGGAGAGGGTCACCCGAGTCGCAGCGAGGGAATTTTAATGTGGTAATCTACGAAAGTGATTACAAACAGCTATGCGCTTGGGTGCTCAAGAAAACGAACATCGAAACTGGTGGAGATTTGTTTGGTTTGTGGGCTGACAAAAACACGGCTGTTATTCAGTTTGTTGTCGGACCTGGCCAAAATTGTCGAAGATCTTCAGTTTCTTTCTACCAAGATATCAGCTACTTGGAGGAGATTGGTTCGCACATGACAAAAAATGAAGGCGTTTGTCATATTGGCGAGTGGCATTCTCACCATCAACTTGGTCTCGCCAGACCTAGCGGGGGAGACGAGAATACCGTGTGGAACAACATGCCCACCTACAACTTGAAGAGGTTCGTGATTTTCATCGCCAACATAGAGAAATCACGAAAACATCCCTACAATGTGAATATTGGCTGCTTCCTGTTTGAGCTTGAGAGTGTCAATGGTAAAGAGAAAGAACTTCCGGTATTACAAGGAACATTCGAGATACTGCAAAAAGAAAATCCATTGAATGGGAAACTGTCGGAGAAGAGAGAAGAAGGTGCAGAGCATGACGAGATGGAAATAGAAATGGAATGTTTACAGATGAAGATATCTCCCGAGGGACACCCACGAGTAACTTATGTCGAATCATTCCCCTGCTTGTGGAAAAAGAGGCCTAAAACTGACGATGAATCAGGAAAAAAGAACAAAAAGAAAAAAAAGAAACCGAGTAAAGACGTCAAAGCTACTTCCGTTGTTAGCAAAACCACTCAAGGAAATGGAAACATGACGCCAGATGACCCCAAAAGCGGGAAGTCGAAAGGAGCAGAAGGCACCCACGAGACGGCCAGCAGTGATTCAAATGGGGATAATGATTCCTATGAAGGCCAAGCAGACAACCCCCAAAAAAGGACGTCAACAAGAGCAGAAGGCACCGCTCAGACAGCCACCAGTGATTCAAAGGAGGGTAATGATTCCCATGGAAGCCAAGCAGATGAGCCCAAAAGAAGGATGTCGACAGGAAAAGAAGGCACCACCAAGACAGCCACCAGTGATTCAAATGAAGATAATGATTCCCATGGAAGCCAAGCAGATGACCCCCAAAAAGGGAAGTCGACAGGAGAAGAAGGCACAGCCAAGACAGCCACCAGTGATTCATGTGAGGATAATGATTCCCACGGAAACCACGCAGATGACCCCTCCAAAGGAAAGTCGACAGGAGAAGAAGGCATGGCTAAGACAGCCACCAGTGATTCAAAGGAGGGCAATGATCCCCATAGAAGCCAAGCAGATGACCCTCAAAAAGGGAAGTTGAAAGGAGAAGAAGGCACCGCCAAGACAGCCACCAGTGATTCAGATGAGGATAATGATTCCCATGGAAGCCAAGCAGATGACCCCCCCAAAGGAAAGTCGACAGGAGAAGAAGGCACCGCCAAGACAGCCACTAGTGATTCCTGTGAGGATAATGATTCCCATGGAAGCCACGCAGATAACCCCCAAAAAGGGCAGTCGAAAGGAGAAGAAGGCACCGCCAAGACAGCCACCAGTGATTCAAATGAGGGTAATGATCTCCATGGAAGCCAAGCATATGATCCCCAAGAAGGGAAGTCGAAAGGAAAAGAAGGCACCGCCAAGGCAGCCACCAGTGATTCAAATGAGGGTAATGATTCCCATGGAGGCCAAGCAGATGACCCCCAAAAAGATAAGTCGACAAGAGAAGAAGACACCGCCAAAATGGCCGCCAGTGATTCAAATGAGGGTAATGATTCCCATAGAAGCCAAGCAGATGAGCCCAAAAGAAAGGTGTCGACAGGAAAAGAAGGCACAGCCAAGACAGCCACCAGTGATTCAGATGAGGGTAATGATTTCCATGGAAGCCAAGCAGATGACCCCCAAAAAGGGAAGTCGAAAGGAGAAGAAGGCACCGCCAAGATAGCCGCCAGTGATTCAGATGAGGATAATGATTTCCATGGAAGCCAAGCAGATGACCCCCAAAAAGGGAAGTTGAAAGGAGAAGAAGGCACCGCCAAGACAGCCACCAGTGATTCAAATGAGGGTAATGATTTCCATGGAAGCAAAGCTGATGACCCCCCAGAAGGGAAGTCGACAGGAGAAGAAGGCACCGCCAAGACAGCCACCAGTGAATCAAACGGGGACAATGATTCCCATGGAAGCCAAGCAAATGACCCCCAAAAAGGGAAGTCGAAAAGAAAGGAAGGCACCGCCAAGACAGCCACCAGTGATTCAGCAGATAACGCAGAGCCTCCTGGTAGAGACCCGAAAAAAGCTTTCAATCAGCTTGATCAGGATCAAACGTCAAGATCAAACAAAAATGTGTTGGGGCAAGGGGAAGCGCCTATGGAAGAAAAGCAGACCAAATCCAGGAGTCAGACGTCGGATCGTGGTGCAAACAAGCACGAAAACCCACATGACAACGACAAGGACAAACTAAGGGAAGGGCAGAAAAATGATGTCAGTAAAGCTGGAAGCAGCCAACCAACATCAGGAAAATCTTTCAAGGCTACAAAAACTACACCTAAGAACAAATCAGGAACACCGCCGTCAAGACCTGTGCCTGGGAAAGCAGTACCAGTAAAACCAGTTGGTAAAGGAGCCAAGAAAAAAGTCGACGAAAAAGGCGACATTGGGAAGAAAGGTGGCCCCACCAAATCTACGACCAAAAAACTATTAAAATGAATTACAACCAAGTTGAACTTTGAACTTTGCACTCAAACTAACATGGCTGTTTGTAACGGTACACTTTATGCTTGCTTTATTCAAAAACTGCAATTTCCACTTCACAGCTGAAAGTTATAAGGATTTCACAGATTTAACTTCCTTTTCTCCCTGGTCAAGAGAACTCATGTACCTCTCTTAACAATCAATGCAAAATATCTAGACATCGTAACCTGCGTTTTCTTGGGCTCGAGTCTTGTTACATGTCCTCACTTTGAGTTCTCATTGGCTCATTGTGACATTTTACTTTTTTGTGATTGGCCAATATGTTAACTAAGGCTTGTTCTCAAGAACTTAAACGAAAAGGGCCCCCTGCCCAGTAATATCATGTGAAACGTGCCTAGGGTAATTTTCCCTGATTAAAACATAAGACTCTGTCCAAAATTTGCATCTATAGCAACCAGATCATTAATACTAAATATATGCTTAGTATTAAGCTCTGAATCGCGGTACTTTAAAAGGAAAGTTTTATCTGTTTTACTCCATAGCATAAATGTCAGAAGCTGTACCTAGTGAAATTATTGATAACCTGGATTATGTTAATTCCCAAAGAGTACTGAGTACATTAGATTAAACAAAAATTGTGCAAATTTTTTTTGGGCAATTCCTTTATTTATAAACAAGACCTTAAGTCATAAAAAAAAACATCCACTTTTACCATGGCAACAAGATTTTAGGCTTTCCACAACAAGATGTTCCGACGTCTCTTCCTTGCACGTTCGGGCTCGCAGGAATATATGGCGTTGAAAAGTATTTCACACCCTCATATCTTTTTTAATCCAAGTAAGACTAAATTTGGAGCTTTCTGAATAAAACAACAACAACAACAAGAGATGAATAAACAACACCGAAACGCAAAAAGGGCTCAGACATACTCTCGCTCTTGCAAAACAAATTTTCCGCAAACAAACTCACTGGAGCCTCTTTTTTCTACATAAAATTCGAGACCAGTACGTCACGTTGGAACATTTGGCTTTCGTGACTAATATGAAGGATAAACAGGAAAAGATTGTCACACGATCACGCACAATTTTGTGGACTGAGCTGCATAATCAATCCGCAAAGATTCTGGGATGAAACTGTTCCAACAAAATGTAAAAAGCTGTCAAATTCATTTAATTTGTGGTCTGTTTTGACCTGTTTGTCATCCGGCGGGAGTTTTTCGCATTTTCAGAAGGAATATGCGAATATGTTAATTTTTCACACCGACTCTGGAATGATGTATTGCGTTATTCTCTGATTAGCTTTATTACGGGTGTAAGAAATACTTAATTGGTTTTTTAGCCGGGCACGTCATCCTTATCAGAGAGACTGAGAAAGCATTATGTGGATTTTTTTATTTTCATTACTTTAATGACTGCTCTAAATTCATTGTTTTTGGTCACGCGGAAGCATTCACTCAAGTGTTTCCGTTTCTTCCAGGAAAATCTCACAAAAGAATCATCATATTAGCCTGAGGGCTGTAACGAAACTGAAAAATATTAGCAGAACTGAAGTTTCGAAGCCTCTTTCACTCGCACAAAAATAGCAGAACGCCGAAAACGTTTATTCTAAGCTATGTCTGCATAGCCTGAAAGTTCGTCTAGATCTGTTACGTCATCACTCGAACGAGTTTGTTTACGGTTACACCACAATTTCTCGGAAATTACGATATTCAAAAAGGCGCATTGTTTGTCGGCGAAAAGTCACCAGAACTACATTTCAAACTAGCCACAGTTCAATCTTCACTTGCAGTGATGGCCTTTTTTAGCTCAAAAGAGGAAGACGTCCATCCGAGGAAATTTGAAGTTGTGATCTATGAAGAAGATTTCAAACAGCTATGCGCTTGGGTGCTCATGAAAACGAACATCGAAACTGGTGGAGATTTGTTTGGTTTGTGGGCTGACAAACACACCGCTGTTATTCAGTTTGTTGTCGGTCCTGGCCAAAATTGTCGAAGATCTTCAGTTTCTTTCTACCAAGATATTAGCTACTTGGAGGAGATTGGTTCTCAGATGACAAAAGGTGAAGGCGTTTGTCATATTGGCGAGTGGCATTCCCACCATCAACTTGGTCTCGCCAGGCCAAGCGGAGGAGACGAGAATACTGTGTGGAACAACATGCCCACCTACAACTTGAAGAGGTTCGTGATATTCATCGCCAATTTAGAGCAGTCAGAAAAAGACTCCTACAGTGTGAATATTGGCTGCTTCCTGTTTGAGCTTGAGAGTGTCAATGGAAACGAGAAACGACTTCCGGTATCGCAAGGAACGTTCAAAATACTGCAAAAAGAGAATCCATTGAATGGGAAACTGTTGGAGAAGAGAAACGAAGGTGCAGAGTATGACGAAAAAGAGGTAGAGATGGAAGATCTGAAGCTAGAGATATCAGATGACGGACCCCCCCGAGTAACTTACGTTATAGAATCCTCACCCCTAACGGAGAGAAAAAGACGACATCATGAAGGCAGGTCTGCCTCGCCTGGAGATGAATCAGTGGATGAAATGATTGAACCTAACAGAAAGAAAAGGTCCTCCCGTAAGTAACGGAAACAGTCAGGAAGATAAGTAGAGAAGCGGATCAATGCGGAATTTAAATGAACAGAAAAGTGAAATCGTGAACAAAACTGTGAGCGGCTATGGACTGACAGGGAAAGAAAAATAACCTTCCAAGGCTATGAAAATAACACCTCAAGACAAGACAGGATCACCACCCGATGCATGGAACTGTACTTGGGAGGACAAAAGCAGAACAACAACCAGATGGTGGAGCAGCCGCGAAAAAGGTCTAAGAGAGGGGTAGCAGTGAGAAGAAAGGTGCCTCTAAAACTGGACCGAATCTAAACACCACCAAAATGAATTACAATTAAGTCTGACTGAGACATTGTTTCTTTAACTAATGCAACTTTGACCACTGAACTTCATTCATACGCGTAAACAGGTATTAATAACAATATTATTATGCTTGCTTTATCTAAAAAGCGCAATTTTCGATTCGCGGCTGAAAGTAATCAGGGATTGTAATGGTTCAACCTTCCTTTGCTCTGTGATTGGTGAAAAAATTCGCGCCATGCGCTGAATCAATTAATTTCAAAGAACCACAACCCTATACCCGACTGGGGGACCTGCCGTTTTATGCGCTCACCGTTATTTGTATTTCCTTTGATATTTTCCTGTTTTGTGATTGGACTTTGTGACTACTCAGTTTGGTTCAGGTCTCGCGACAGTTACCTTAAAGCGGCCTCTATCCTGCAATAAATCGTGACATACGGGCCAGCGACTACTGTGGTCCTAACACAAACACAAATTAAAGCAGCCTCTCTCCAAATTCAGTGACCGTGTTTGCATAGGGAAATGGAACATCCAGCCAGACTTCTCTCTTTTTTTTTGCACTATAATAGATTTTTTAATTTGATGTGAGATAAAAACTTACTTGACAATCTAGATGTCCAATCTTCATTGATTTCTTCTGATATTAAACGTTAAATAAAACATCAACAACCTCGTTTGTAATTAGGCAGCAAGTACCTCGGCGTTTAACAGACTCGATTTGTTTTGTTTTAATTTCGGCGAATGAAACCAACTTGGTTTTACTTTACTCGTGGGTTTTGCTTAGTCAATGTCAACAAAGGAGGCTGTGTTTACTTATACCAACGCTATCAGTTCTTTATTATTAAACATGTTCATGGAAACGTCATAGTTAAACGCTTGAATGTAAATAATGTAGAGGCATGATCTCCATAAGAACTAATGTGTTAATATATATTTACAGCGAATTTCGAATAATCAGTTTCAAGAAATACTCATTTAGAGAGTTCACTTGTCGTTTCATGCCCAGCGGATTACCCTAGTTAGCTTTATCATTGGTCTGCGTCAATTCAGTAAATTTAACTTCATAAACATTTATATGCAATTCCTCCCGTAAAGTTGGATGGGTATATAAATTTAAATCGCGTATTTCAGTTTTGCATTTCTTAGCTTTCGTATATATTGAGCTTACCGACGGGCATAGACTGTTTGAATAGAAACAAACGTTCAGTTTAGATGTGGACCCGTACTTCTTTAGTTGTTACCGGCGATCTTCATGAACCTGTAGCTGTTTCATTTCTTGTCTAGCGTTTTTATCGTGATCATATCTTACCGTTGTACTCCTTCTGACTTTCCACCAACAAAGTAAATTGCCAATTTCTCCTCTCAAAACGCGACTGTTGGCTGCATAAATAAAAGGATTTATTGTGGCACTCAAAAATAACATAAGGACGACACCCAACTCTACAAATCTGGGAACTGTCTCTGGAGAAAAGCGCTTCCAAAATGCGAAAACCCACAGTGGGATCCAAGAGAACAAAAATCCTGCTGCCACGTACAACAACGCCCGGCTTATGTTGATTTCATGCGCAGATAATCGGCTCTGAGGGTTAACGCTGTTCTCAAGAGATGGAAGAACCTGACGTTTGTGATGGCGGAGTTTGGAGAAAACTTTCCAATAACTAAAGCAGGCGACGGAAAACGGTAAGAGAGAATATAAGCCGAAAACGATGCAGTAGTGAACAAACTTTCTTTCTCTTGTTGTAAAAGTTACGCTACATAGGGCGTAACCAGCAATAAACTGGTACTTATTCCAGTTTGTCGCTCGGGCGATGACGAGATACGATGCCAAAGATATCCAGACACAAGTCAGCCAAATCTTAGACTTTCGAGGAGAAAATATTTTGTTGTAGTTGTGGGTCTTGACACACCGCATGTATCTGTTAAACGCCGTTAAGCCCATTGTCGCAGGAGTCACATACGTAACGAATACATCAACGAAACCTTGGAACTGACATACTCCGTCACCAAAGTTCCACTTTCCCTTGATTACTGTTGTTGCAGCTATCGGCATTTCTACAGTTGCGCAGACCAAATCACTCACTGCCAGAGCTATGATGTACAGATTCGTGGTCAATCGCAGTTTAGGGCTTTTGTACGCAGCCAAAAGCACCAGAGTATTTCCTGTGACACTTACGGCGCACATTGTGAGGAAAATAATCGTCTCGAAGATGACGGCTACCAAGCTTCGATCAGGTAGGTGCATCGAAGGCATGATCAAAAAGCAACCTCTCACCCTGCCTGATTAAACTTAACTAAAACAAAAACGACATTTTCTTCTTTCAAGCTTAGTACCTCCTCCGCTGAGACCATTGATACCAAAACAAAACAGATGCTAAGTCTATATAATAATAATTTTAATAAAAGACAATTTTATACCGCGCCAGTATGTTACTGTTCAAAGGCGCCTACAATAATAATAAAAAAACTTAAACATTAACACTTAAGACAGCTAATATTAATTATAAAAGGCTTTTCTAAAGAGTAAAGTTTTTAATCTACGTTTAAAAACAGACACAGACTGAGCATTTCTAATTTCACTTGGCAAAGCATTCCATAATGATGGTGCTGCTACAGAAAAGGATCTTGCGCCATATGTTTTCAAGTTATAGGATGGAGAAACCAGAAGGTGCTTGAATGATGAGCGTAGTTGACGCGATGGGGTGTAAGATGTAAGCAGATCACAAATGTACGACGGTGCCAGGTTGTTAAGTGCCTTGTAGGTTATAAGTAAAATCTTAAAAATAATACGTTGGTTAACGGGAAGCCAATGAAGATTGAAAAGAACAGGCGTAATGTGATCATGCTTTTTTGTAAGTGTGACGAGGCGCGCCGCGGCATTCTGGACGTGTTGTAGCCTTTTTATAGCGTAGGCTGGTAGGCCATACAAAAGGGAATTACAGTAATCCAGCTTCGAAGATACAAACATATGAACCAGCAATTCAGTAGTGGTCGCTGAAAGATATTTCCTGATATAGCTAATATTTCGCAAATGATAAAATGAAGATTTACAAATGTCAGTAATATGATCCTTAAAGCAAAAATGGCTGTCGAACATAGTGCCGATATTCCTCGCCTTTTGCACGGAAGGAATAGTCTCACCAGCAACTGAAATTTCGTGAAGGAGTGGTCTTGGAAGATGTTTAGCGGAAATTACCAATAATTCAGTTTTGTCTTTATTTAATTTAAGACGATTAACCATCATCCAATGACTGATTTCATCCACACAGCTCTCGATGCTAGAAACCGCTAGATCCCTATCACCCACTACGGTTGGTTGGAAAGACAAGTAAAGCTGTGAGTCGTCAGCATAAAAATGATAGCTCAGGTTAAATTTCTTTACGATATCTGAAAGCGGTGAAGTATAAAGCAAATACAAAATGGGTCCCAAGACAGATCCTTGTGGCACTCCACATTTAAGGTCATGTTTCGTCGAAGTACCACCATCAACGGAGACATATTGCGTGCGATTCGATAAATAAGATTGCAACCATAATAGAGGCTTCCCAGCTATCCCAAACCGTACACGTAAACGAGAGAGGAGGATGGTATGATCGACTGTATCGAAGGCAGCGGAAAGGTCTAACAACAGCAAAATTACGATTCGACGATTATCAATGGCAGAAAGAATATCATTGTGAACACGAATAAGTGCAGTTTCAGCACTGTGATATTTCTTGTACGCCGACTGGAATGTCTCATTTAACTCATAATCGTTAATGTAGGAGATAAGTTGATTAGCTACCAATTTTTCAATTGCTTTGCTAATAAATGAAAGATTCGATACCGGACGATAATTGCAGAATTGAGTATGATCCAAAGAAGATTTCTTGAGGAGCGGGCGTAACATTGCAACCTTGAGTTGCGAAGGCATCTGACCAGATTCCAATGAGATATTTATGATTTTGGAAATGAAAGGCAACAGAACACTAAGTGCATTTCTTGTAACATAACCAGGAAGAGGATCAAGAGCACATGACTTAGCAGCCAGATTCATGATACATGTATGAACTTCATCCGCTGTTACCATTTTGAAAATATCAAAAGAATATGGACAGGCGTTGTCAACAACAGCAACTGTATCTCGATGAGGGAAAGCAGCAGTCGTTATATGACCCCGTATTCTATCTATCTTTGTAGTGAAGTACTTAATAAACTTGTTAGCAAGATCAGTGGGCGATTTGCAGGGGGGATATTGAATATCTGTTTTCCTTTGTAGTAGTTTATCAATTATCTTAAAAAGCTGTTTATAATTTGACTGATTCTCATTGATTAATGATGCGAAATAATTCTTCTTGGAATCACGAATTAAGTTGTTGACAGCATCACATCCCTCAATAAACAACTTACGATCAGAAGGAAGTTTTGTCATTCGCCAGCGTCGTTCAAGTTTTCTACGGGATCTCTTTAAATTATTTATCTCCTCAGAATACCAAGGTGCAGCGGGACGCAAAGTAACTAACTTTTTTTGCAGTGGAGCATGAGTCTCAAGTATGGTAGTAAGGACTCTGTTATATTGATCAATCAAATAATCCAAGGATGACGATGACGAGGCAAAAAGATCAGGAAGGCTCGAATTCATAACATCAGCACAGAAATTATCAAAATCAATAGATCGAAGCTTTCTGAATGAAATAATCTTCTTGTCGAGCGGCGGCTTATTAAGCGAGAGCTGGAAGTGAACAGCAGCATGATCAGAGATGACAAAAGGAGAACCAATTGTTAAATTTGAAACAATACTATCATCAGATCTTGTAATCACAAGATCTAAGGTGTGTCGATCTTTATGCGTTGAGCCATGTGTATGTTGAGTAAGATTGAAAGAATCCAACAATTGAAGAAATTCAGTTGAGTGTTGGGAAGAACAGGTGTCAACATGTATATTAAAATCACCAACTAATAATATTCCACCAGGATCAGCGATATAGTGCTCCAGGAACGTAGAAAACTCATCAAGGAACAATGAGGGTGTTAAATAGTTACCTATCTGAATATGAATTAGGACCTGTTCATCCTTTCATTGGAAACAGGTGGGAAGCAAATTATATCGCAGGCGTAATTAATAAAGCCCTTTCAGTTAAATGTTAGATAACTTATCAATATTTACAATATACTGAATTAAAGTTTGAATTGGCGTTAACCATCCCCATGAACTATTTTGTTTCACAAGCCCAAGCTACCATTTAACGCTCTCACTCCCAAAGAAAAAGAAACAAAAATTTGCATGAAAAGGCTGAACCGCAAAATTTTCAACTAAACTCACTTTCCCAATTTCATCCCAGAGCAGGTGATTAAAACTTAATTCTAAATGAATATTGTTTATTCCTTATTTTTCAGCCTGATTTTCAAATCGGAAACGTTTGAGCTGGGAAAAAAATTTAGCGAGCAAACGAGCACACTAGAGATTCCTTCCTATATCACTTAAAGCCTTTTAGCAAAACTGTGAAATTTGTTTTGGCAGAAACGGCAGATGGAAGCTGTTTATAAATTTAGAAGCTGCCGTCACGAACAAATGGTCCGAAAATGCAGTGCCATCACGAAAAAGCCCAAGTTTAATTGACATTATCTGGTACCACATTGCTTTAACTAGTTTTTAATCCAAAGGAAATTTGAAACTCGAGAGGAGATTAGTTAGTTTGCTTATTGTTTTCCATCAACTACAGATGCTTTTTTTCAACGTCCCGTTTTTCCTCCTCAAAGACAAAATGCAAAAGACAACAACCAATCCACAGAGCTAAAAGCGATAAATAATAGGGAAAATATTACTAAAAAGCATCTGGAACGAAATAAGAAAGCAGACTAAGAAATACCATGAGGGTGTGCTGAGAGATTTTGTATGAAATGTCTGATGTCTTTGTGTTCTGACTTTGTCTTTTGTATCAGTCACCTGGTTATGAGAATTAAGGAAATGATCTGTAGCAGAATGTTACCCAGTCTCCTTTACAGTCGTTATCTGATCTCACCCAGAAACGAGTTCTCCTGTGTGGGGAAGGGGAGGGGAGGGATCGCATTGCCTGATGGGACCTTGTATCGGCTGCGAAGGACATTACCTTCTGCTTTGACAAAAACACGAAAAAAAGGAAGAAAGAAAGAAATCAGGAATGAATAACAAAAAAATTGCTTTTCTGTTGAGGAGCTCTCAGATATTTTAGCCAGAATTAAAAATCGATAATTGACAATATTTATTTTTGATATGAGTCGGTTTCGAGATGAGTTGAATGGTAAGCCTCTTCATTCTCACTTTTATGTTTGGTCCCAATTTTTTTACCATAGAATAATATTCCTTTAACACTTCCAACCTCAAAAAGTCCCAAAATGGCTATTTACAGTGTATTTCAATCACTAATGGAAAAAATCGTAGACATCTGCACTTTCAAAAGTTGCAATATGACTTTTCACTGTCAATTAATATCTGATGACCTATTTTCCCTAATACTCCTTCTTAGACTAACATACACTCCTTTGTAAATCAGATGAGAGAGTTTGGACCGACATCAACTTATAACACCCTCCTGCTAAAACGTTTCTACTCTCTTATCAACAGTTTTGTCCGATGATATTCTTGTCTCACGAAGAGATTTTACATGTTTTTAACCTCTGGGAGTTATAAGTGTTATTAGCTCGCCCACTCTCTCAAGGATATATTCGATCGTGATTCCATTCGGCTTCATATACTCATAGTATTACCAGATTGTTAGTACTCGAATAATGGATCAAAAAGTTTGCAGCAAATCAAGACATTATCACAAAAACACATTTGCGCGTTAATATGGTTGCGACAAACTTCCTCAGGTTTGAAAGGCCGGAAATTAAAACATAGTGTCTTTTCTTATTCAAGGATGATAAATAACACATCCATCAGAACACGACAAGAGGTAAAACTGATCATTGTAGAACTTTCCGGTTCGAGTAATTGAACGAGTAATGCATATGAGAGGCTTCTACTGAAGAGTGCGTGGGAACATTTTGAGTTGTTAAATTTTAAACGACTCAAAATTCAAAGGATTTTTCTTTCTTTTAAAGAAAAATCTGAAAAAAAGGGTACAGAACCGGTCGAAGCTGCAGTTGCAGGAAGTAAAATGTTGGTAATAAATAGTATCCATAAAGGATACATGTAACATTGATATTTCGTTGGTCATTTGATTGAACTTTATCTTTAAAAGCCGGAACACGTTTCACATTTCGGTCAGCTGGTGATTAATTTTTTTTTTTATCAGAAAAATGCTAAGTGATCGTAACAACTTGGAAACGAAAGAACGTTCACTGATGTAATAAAAGTGAACAAGATAATCGTAGTAGTGTCTCTATGGTTGACAGACAAAACAGCTTTTCATCTTTAAACTACGTGAGGTTCCATGTAGTTTTGTTTAATCAACCTTGATATCGCGCGACAGCTGACCAAAGAAAAAGTAATCTTGAATGAAACATATCATGTCTATAAAAGAACTGTTTATAGCTGCCTTCTTCTGCACGTTCTTCTAAATCTGATAAATGTTTGCAGATTGGAACACTTAAGCCACAACACCGAGACCACTGTTGTAAATTTAAGTTTTATGGCGGAAATGTTCAATCTGGATCTCATTTCGTGGATAAATTAAATTGGCTGCTTTCCCAAATGACGTCATTTCCTGCAGAGCAATCTAATTTTAAAAAATAATGCTTATGAAGACCCACCGAAGTGTCATTGTTACATTATCCGCCTACTTTGTGATGTAAAGATGACTTCGCTGGAGCTACAAGAGCGAAGCCTAGCAGTTGTTATCGTCGAGTCAACTGCATGTCTCACAATGAACATAATAAGTGTAATAGGGAACACTTTGGTATGTTTCGCCGTGTACAGGAACCCTAAGCTTCGATCTACAATCAATCTGTATATCATTGCGTTGGCAACAAGCGATCTTCTTTGTGCAACAGTAGAAATGCCACTGGCATCGGCAACTTTGATCACCGGTCGGTGGATGTTCGGCGACGCCTTATGCTGGTTTCAAGGGTTTGTTGATGTATTCATCACATATGTAACTCCTGCGACTATGGGTTTGACGGCGTTCAACAGATATATGCGGATTGTCAAAACTCATAGCTACAATAAGATATTTTCACCTTGCAAGTCTAAAATTTGGTTGAGTAGCTTGTGGATAACCATAGCGCTCTACATCATTTTGGGGCAAATAACAAACTTTAACAGTTTTGAATTCATTCCTGGTTTCGCAGTTTGCAGCGTGGTTTTTATGTCAGCAGAGAGTCGATTCGCTCACTACTGTGTTCTATTCGCGCTGAGTTTGGTCTTCCCACTTTCCATCGCTTGTTATAGCTATTATAAAATTTTCACTAAAACCCTTAAACACAACAATGACGTTGCGCCTTCGCTGGAGACGAACGTGAACAGATTTGGAAAAGTTTCGGTGCAAGAGATTAAGGTTTGCCGAGCCTTAGCGTTTATCATAGCTGGCTTTTTGCTAAGTTGGGTTCCCATGTGGGCGTTTTTGTTTTGGATGCGCTTTTCGCGCGAGACAGCCCCTAGAGGCATACAGTTGGCGGCGATACAACTTCTTTTTCTTAGCAGCACAATTAACCCCTTTATCTACGCTGCCACTAACCGAGCTTTTCGAAATGAATTCTACAGAATGCTGTGTTGGTGGAAAAAGAGACGTATCCAAGGTTCCGATCTGGCTGTTGAAGGACTCAAAGTGACGAGAGCAAATGAAAAAAGAGACCAAGAGTTGGAAACGAACATGTAAATTATCAACCGTGGCATTTGAAATTCATGTAATGAAGCCCTTTCAGTTAAATGTTAGATAACTTATAAATATTTACAATATACTAAATTGAAGTTTGAATTGGCGTTAACCCTCCCCATGACCTATTTTGTTCCACCAGCCCAACCTACCATTTAACGCCTCCACTTTCATAGAAAAGGAAACAAAAATTTGCATGAAAATCCTGAACCGCAAAATTTTCAAATAAACTCACTTTCCCAATTTCATCCCAGAGCAGGTAATTAAAACTTAAATTAAAACAGAGGCCAAGAATTGGAAACGAACATGTGAATTATCAACTGTGGCATTTGAAATTCATGTTTGTTATCTTTAATTAATGCAATGTTCTGTAACTCATCCTTATCATAATGATTAAGTGTTAGTGATCTAGAGCGACCACAGAATTTGTCGCCAAAATTCACCTAGAACGTGACAAATTCTGTTTTAATTCAACACACCTTTTAAAAATTAATGAGTTACATCTAAGGTTTTTTCAGTGATAGACAATGCTGTATATGCATAATTTTTCGAACTTTTTGAATTTAAAATAGATCACTGTTATTCGCACAAAAACTTAACAAATTGGTCCTTCACAGGTTCCTAAATAGCTCATTCCAGACAAAATTAATTAACGATCTAAATTTACAAAGATGGTGAAGCTTACTCGACAGCAAACGACTGGAAAAGAAAAATCCCAAGTAGGTCTTTTAAGACAATTGCGATCATGCATCAGTACCTTGGTGACACCGAGTGATTAGTTTAGATCAGTTTGACACGAAAATGTTTGTCATCTGAACTTGATAGAACTGAGGAAGATGAAACTCCATTCTTCTATATCCTGACTTAATTGAATGTAAACACTCCTTAGAATGTCGATAAATGATGCATTGAATTAATTAGTTCTTAGTATTTTGTGTTTCATTAACCTTTTTTTATCCTTTTCATTAGTTATTTAAATTTTTGCGAGAAGCAGTAGCTTAATTAATGTTAATCTAGGACACCAAACCTTTGATCCATTTGGGACGTTAGTAAAGAAGCAAGAATTTTGTAAAAGAAAAATTAGTTATTTATACAGGCCCTGTCAAACAAGAAAAGTTAAGTGGTTGCCAACAACCTGGGGAGGCAAATAAAGAGAACTTTTGGCAAGAGCCAGAATAAAGAAGTAAACTGCTCTGCATATATTAGCCACAATATGTCAAAATGGAACTTGCAATAATTCGATTACGTTTATCCGGCTAACAAGATTGTACAATAAAAAACGATGTTTTGATATATAATACTACTAGCTGGAGTTTCTGGTTTCCTTTAACAAAGTCAAGAATTAATTGATGGTATAAATTTCGGCTTTTCCCTCATAGGGTGCTCTGTTTTTCCAATTAGAAAGTGGCGATCCGATAATAGAACCATTATACATTAATTTTCTCAAGATTTTTAAGGGACTGAATTGACTTTGAGATAAATTGTCTTTGAAGATATGAGAATCTTATTATTAACCAACCGAAAAACAACGGTTTTTTTCGTCAGCCTTTTCGCCGCATATGAGATAAGTGGGTGTCTACGAAAACCGGGAGAACATTTCGCTTCGTCAGTCTAGTCTTAGAGAGAGTAAATAGATTCCGCTCTGAAAAGCTTCTATTTTGAAATAAGCCTAACTAACCGCTAAAATAAATATTGAATGTCTTTAATTCAAGTCATTTAAAGCTAAGCAGGAAACCACTACCTAGGAAACCAGTAATCATGAATCATACCAACACTAATCGGCCTTTGGAAAGAATTTATTTAAACACACGGTGTACCTTGCTGTATGTTATACTTCAACTCGTGAAAAGTGTCCTGTTTGTGATCATCTGGCCTAAAAAAGAAGCATCCCTATCCGTCACACTCAACTTCTCCGAAGAGTCTATTTTAATTATGAGGTGCCCCCTTGAGCGTTTCAATCGTGATCGAAATAAAGGTTGATAATATTTCCTACAAAAGTAGATGACGAAGTCATGAAAAAAGTATGTCACTTTTTCCGGGCTGATCTTCGGGAGTCTTTAAAATAAATCCGGAGAAGAAAAAGAATTTCAATTTCTGACAGTGTGTTTATAATAATATAATAATAATAATAATAATAATAATAATAATGATAATAATAATAATAATAATAATACAATACTTCCTCTTGTATAAATAATCTAAAACTTATACTGAGCTTTCTACCTTCTAATAGAAAGCCTTTAAAAACCGTAAAAATATGATTAAATGAAAATAAAAATTGAAAAAAAGGAAATGGCAATCAAAGTAGTTTTCAAGTTCAATAGTCTCATTGGAAAATCTAAAAAAATCCTTCCACTTCCAGTTAGGTTTATTTCTAACTTCAATGGTGTATTGACTTACTCATAAAGCAACTACTTTTGCGGTCTAATTATCTTGGATATCTTTTCTAAAGAATACTTCCGTTCGCACTCATCTTTAAAATGGCCATATACGTGACATTTCTGCAGACATCTGCATGCTCATGTAGTTCAATGTTCTCCACGATTGCCCCAGCTCTTTTTTGTCTCGGGACAATTTGCCTTCGTTGCCGACGACAAGACAGCATTTTGCGAAACTCTTGTCTAAATCCATTATTTGTGGCCGCGTAAATAAGGGGGTTGATGAAACTACTTAAAAACACGAAAAATATCACCAACAATGGCACCACTCTGGGAACTGGTGTTGGGTAGAATCGATTGAGAAGAGACAAACTCCACATTGGTATCCAGCAAAGAAAGAAACCAGCAAAAACACAGGCGATGGATTTGCTTATTTTTATCTCTTGGATTGAGATTCTGGTCTGTGCAGCTTCCTGGGTGTTATGAAGATTTGGTGCAACTTCCACGTTATGTCTTCGTATTGACCTGAACACGTTGCAATATGAAAAAATGGCTACTAAAAATGGCACGCCAAAATACACGCAGACAATGAGAACGTAATGTACTAACTTCCTGTTTTCCGTGTAATGTTTAACACTACAGGCGGCAAAACCAACCACAAACCCATACCTCTGCCAGTTCGTTATGCGCGCAACGAGAAGATACCCCGCTAGCGAAACCCAGACAGCCGTTAACCATATCTTGGAACGCCATGGAGAAAAGATTTTCCTGTAATGATTAGTCTTGACGATTCGGATGTACCTGTTGAAGGCTGTAAGACCCATTGTTGCCGGAGGACAGTAAGTTGAGAAAACGTCGACAAAACCGTGAACTTGGCACATCCCGTCACCAAGGGCCCATCTTCCCACGACTAATGTCCAAAAGGTAAACGGCATTTCAAGAACGGCGCAAATGAGGTCTCCGACAGATAAGGCAATGATGTATAAGTTGGTCGTGGATCTGAGTCTTGGATTGCGGTAGACTGCTGCACAAAGCAAGCCATTACCGACTAAACTACCGATATTTAACAAAAGACAAATGCTGCATTCGAGGATAACCAGACCTAAGCTTCTTGGGGGAAGATCTAGGACATCCATTTTGAACCTTTCACGATCTTCCGCTTGTGAACTCAGTTTCATGAGTTGCGTTCCTGATTGACAGAATATTTACCCAGGCATCATCACGCAAGCTGACATCCGTCTGTAACTCCGGAACTTTGATATATCATACTTATTCATAGCCAGAAAAACATGGCGTTTATACTAACATTCTTTCTCAGCATATCTTTCTGAAAAATTCGTGAGGAATCAATTCGAAAAATCTTCAAAATATTGCTGAAAGATTTGAAGTAAACCAGTTTTATCCTCAGGCTTCCATTTGTAAACACCGACGCAAAGTTATCTTTTGTGTACCTCCTCATATTAGGATAAAGAATTAACCAATAGAATTACGCTGCATTATGAAAACGCGCATCCAAAGTGAGAGACGTGGGATGGGAACAGCAGGAAGAAAATATAAAGAGATCTTCCTCTGTTAAAGACGCTGGGCTAAGACTAATTGAATTGTTTTCCTTTTTTGCCTGATGGTAGGTGATTGCATAAGGAACAAGTTAAATTCATTATCGAATGTCAAATTTGCAATTTTTAGTGGGCGATTACTACCTTTTCAACAATTCAAACACATCGGTTTTTGTGTCAGTGTTTTCATCCCAAATGAATTAAGTGGGTGTGTACGAAAACCAGGAAAACATTTCGCCTCGTCAGTCTAGTCTTAAAGAGAGTGAATAGAATCTACTTTGAAAAACTTCTATTTTGAAATAAGCCTAACTAACCGCCAAAATAAATATCGGATGTCTTTAATTTAAGTCATTTAAAGCTAAGCAGTAAACCACCATTCAGAAAAGCATTAATCATGAATAATACCTACACTGATCGGCCTTTTGGAAAAAATTTATTTAAACACACGGTGTACCTTGCTGTATGTTATACTTCAACTCGTGAAAAATGTCCTGTTTGTGATCACCTGGCCTAAAAAAGAGACATCCCTATCCGTCATACTCAACTTCTCCGAAGAGTCTATTTTAATTATGAGGTGCCCCTTGAGCGTTTCAATCATAATCGAAATAAGGGTCAATAATATTTCCTACGAAAGTACACGAGGAAGTTATGAAAAAATTATGTTACTTTTCCGGGCTGATCTTCAGGAGTTTTTAAAATAAATCCATCGAAGAAAAAAGAATTGCAATTTCTGACAGTGTGAGGTGGCGGTAAGCGAAAGGAAATTCACCTGATTAGGCTCGAATTTATTCAAAACTTAGTTTAAATCTTTAGAAACAGTGATAACAAGAAAAAAATATTTGATGGACCTCAGAAGGTTTAAGTCTTCTTCAGTAAGTTTTCTTGGCAGTTGCACCTGTCAAAGGGAACCAAGAAGTGTTAATGTGCCTTTATCTGATTCAATGAAATCCGTTAATATCTTAGCCTTAATAAAATATTTGATTAGCAGACTATGAACTCCTCGCAACTTGCTGTTGTTGCTTAGAAACAGAAAGAAAAATTTTATGAAATTTAACCAATTCTATAAAATAAGTGTAGCAGTGTGTGCTTTTAATATCGGAATGACTGATTGAGTCACTTGATTAAAAACTTTCTTTCGTTTAACGATCGAAAACGTAAGCTTTCGGCAACAGTCGGAAACCTTTAAAAACTGGCTTACAATGGCGCGAGATAAAAAACATCTAAAAAAGAATGGCGTACTGTTTTGACAACAGCTTGGAATTATTGTCTGCGTGAATAGTGTTACTATTGTGCCAAGATGTCAAAGTTTTTCGAAATAAAAAATGTCCAGTGTGAATCGCGTAACCTGTCATTCTCGACCTGAAAAGTGTAGTCACTACACCGAGCGTCGGGTAAATTAACATGACTTTCTTGGCGACTTGGAAGTGACACTCTGAGTTACTATTTTCGTTACATTTTTTCCCATTTGACATCCATATGCATGAATGATCCATGTTTCAGTTTGAGTAATAGTCGCATTTGCCAGGGCTGTCACTGTCACGATTCTACGGACTAGTAGTATCACTTGCAGAACGAATGAGAATATTCAGTACCAGAGTGGTTGAACTATATCATACGATATAAAAAAAAAAAAACGGGAAATATTCAGTGCTTTATACAACAGAGTGGTTGAACTATATCATACGATATAAAAAAAAAACACGGGAAATATTCAGTGCTTTATACAACAGAGTGGTTGAACTATATCATACGATATAAAAAAAAAAAACGGGAAATATTCAGTGCTTTATACAACAGAGTGGTTGAACTATATCACACGATGTGAAAAAAAAAAAAAATAATAATACTGGAATCAGGTTTAAAAGGCATGATGGGACAACAATACTTCCCCTGGTAAAAAATTATCTAAACCTTACACTGAGCTTTCTGCCTTCTAGTAGAAAGCCTTTAAAAAATGTAAAAATATGATAAAATGAAGATAAAAATTTGAAAAAAAGGTAATAGCACTAAAAGTAGTTTTCAAGTTCAACAGTCTCATTAGAAAATCTAAAAAGTCCTTCCACTTCCAGTTAGGTTTATATCTAACTTCAGTGGTGTATTGACTAACTCATAAGGCAACTACTTTTGCGGTCCAATTATCTTGGATATCTTTTCTAAAGAATGCTTCCGTTCGCACTCATCTTTAAAATGGCCATATACGTGACATTTCTACTGACATCTGCATGCTCCTGTAGTTCAATGTTCTCCACGATTGTCCCAGCTCTTTTTTGTCTCGGGACAATTTGCCTTCGTTGGCGACGACAAAACAGCATTTTGCGAAACTCTTGTCTAAATCCATTATTTGTCGCCGCGTAAATAAGGGGGTTGATGGAACTACTTAAAAACACGAAAAATGTCACCAACAATGGAACCACTCTAGGAACTGGTGTTGGGTAGAATCGATTGGAGAGAGACAAACTCCACATTGGTATCCAGCAAAGGAAGAAACCAGCAAAAACAAAGGCAATAGATTTACTTATTTTTATCTCTTGGATTGAGATTCTGGTCTGTGCAGCTTCCTGGGTGTTATGAAGATTTGGTGCAACTTCCACGTTATGTCTTCGTATTGACCTGAACACGTTGCAATATGAAAAAATGGCTACTAAAAATGGCACGCCAAAATACACGCAGACAATGAGAACGTAATGTACTAACTTCCTGTTTTCCGTGTAATGTTTAACACTACAGGCGGCAAAACCAACCACAAACCCATACCTCTGCCAGTTCGTTATGCGCGCAACGAGAAGATACCCCGCTAGCGAAAACCACACAACCGTTAACCATATCTTGGAACGCCATGCAGAAAAGATTTTCCTATAATGATTAGTCTTGACGATTCGGATGTACCTGTTGAAGGCTGTAAGACCCATAGTCGCCGGAGGACAGTAAGTTGAGAAAACGTCGACAAAACCGTGAACTTGGCACATCCCGTCACCAAGGGCCCATCTTCCCACGACTAATGTCCAAAAGGTAAACGGCATTTCAAGAACGGCGCAAATGAGGTCTCCGACAGATAAGGCAATGATGTATAAGTTGGTCGTGGATCTGAGTCTTGGATTGCGGTAGACTGCGGCACAAAGCATGCCATTACCGACTAAACTGCCGATATTTAACAAAAGACAAATGCTGCATTCCAGAATAACCAGACCTAAGCTTCTTGGGGGAAGATCTAGGACATCCATTTTAAACCTTTCACGATCTTCTGCTTGTGAACTCAGTTTTCATGAGTCGCGTTTGTTTGACAGAATATTTACCCAGGCATCATGACACAAGCTGACATTCGTCTGTAACTCCGGAACTTTAATATATCGTAATTATTCATAGCCAGAAAAACATGGCGTTTATACTAACATTCTTTCTCAGCACGTCTTTCTGAAAAATTCGTGTGGAACCAACTCGAAAAATCTTCAAAATATTGCTGAAAGATTTGAAGTAAACAAGTCTTATTCTCAGGTTTCTATTTTTAAACACCGACGCAAAGTTTTCTTTTCTATACCTCCCTATATTGGTCTAAAGAGTAACTTCAGTAACAACCAATAGAATCTCGTTGCATTATGGAATCGTGCATCCGAGGTAAGAGACCTGTGCTGGTGCTACTAGGATGGGAACAACAGGAGGAAATACAACGAGATCTTCCTCTGTTAAAGACGCTGGGCTAAAACTAATTAAATTGTTTTCCCTTTTTGGTTGATAACAGGTGATTGCATTAGGAGCAAGTCAAGTACAATACCGAATGTCAAATTTGCGATTTTAGGGGGCGATTACTGCCTTTTCAACCTTACTGTGTTAGTCTATATTTGAGCCTTCTTCGTGGGAGATGTGAGATAAAAACGACCACAGCGTCAAAATTCAATTTAGTGAAGAGCTTTTACTCATAGGAAGCGGAAGGACCTTGAAGTAATGTCAAAAGGACAGTGGATGGTCATTTTTCTTAATTTCCGCACTGCTTCTTTAAATCTACACTATTACTGATGAAAGCATCGTAAGGAAAAAACTTTTATCTAAAGTTTGTGCTGAGTAACAAGATTTTTCCAGAAAAAAATAAAAATACACGCAGACAATGAGAACGTAATGTACTAACTTCCTGTTTTCCGTGTAATGTTTAACACTACAGGCGGCAAAACCAACCACAAACCCATACCTCTGCCAGTTCGTTATCCAGAGCGCAACGAGAAGATACCCCGCTAGCGAAAACCACACAACCGTTAACCATATCTTGGAACGCCATGCAGAAAAGATTTTCCTATAATGATTAGTCTTGACGATTCGGATGTACCTGTTGAAGGCTGTAAGACCCATAAAAAAAAAAAGGTGAAGACAAAATTTTTGTCGAAAAGATAAATCAATTGATTAGGCAGATTAATATGACAGACCTTGAAGTAATGTCAAAAGGACAGTGGACTGATGTAAGGAAAAAACTTTTATCTAAAGTTTGTGCTGAGTAACAAGATTTTTCCAGAAAAAAATAATTAAAAAAAAAGGTGAAGACAAAATTTTTGTCGAAAAGATAAATCAATTGATTAGGCAGATTAATATGACAGACTGAACAGTAAAGGTAGCGAAAAGTTTTCACTGTTCGCCGACACGGAAAAAAATAGAACTATACATCGTGAATCCTTCTGTCGCATGTTTGCTGTACTCTGATGTAAAACAAACTTCATGGTGAATTAAAATTATTCTTGACAAATACCAAGTCCAGCGTTTAGATAAGAAACACTAAAATATCAACATTTAT